AAAAATAATATCAAATTCTGATGGAACAGATAATCTCCCACAGTCAAGCATTCTGTACGAGTGTTGAACATTGAATTGTTTCGACATATTTGGTACTTTTGGTCTTTCGATAGACCTCAGCAGGAGCTTTGATTTATCTCCATCTTCTGTCTAAAGTTGTGTCCGGGTCCAAATGCCGCCTGCCGTTGCCTAGAGCCTGTTGGCAGCGGAGAGGATCAGCGCCAACGATTCACAAATGTGGTAAATGTGAGTCATGCATCAGAAATAACATGATCTGCGTTGGTGTGTCCTTCCTCTAAACGAGAGCCCAGAGAGGAAACACTGATACAGCATCCAGAGACAAACCTCACACCAGAACCTCCCTCTGAAGGTGTGACTTGAGGCCAACAGGACGGAAAGGCAAGGCATGGTTATTTGTATAGCGCAGTTCAAACACAAGGCAACTCAAAGTGCTGAACAAAACAATCACACAATGGATTAAAATCATACATAATCACGGTTCATTAAAAAGAGTCAAGATACAACCACTCTTGTAACTGGATTTGAACATTGTCAGAGAACAAGCCCGTCTCACATTATCAGGAAGACTGTTCAATCAATCAATCAATCAATCCTTTATTATCTCACACAGATGGAGAAATTCAGTTCAATGAATAAACATCAAGGCCGGCCGCGTACTCTAATTTTCCGCGCTCCTTATGACAGTTATTCAACAGCAGAGAGCAAAACAGACACATATTTCAACAAACATGGGAGAGACACGGTACATGTGGGAAAACATGCGGATCTTTTTAAAGGGAAGTCATCACTCTAACCCGCCTCGTCCAATATGGCGCGTCAGAGGGGAGTGTGGGTGGGGGAGGTGGAGGGGAAGACCACCATAGACTGAAAAGAGAGGGAGGCAGACATGTAGAAGGAGGGGGGGACTGTAACTGGTGTTCTGAGTTGTGAGTCTGAGATAGATAAGAGTCCAGTGTCAGCCTTGAGTGGCCGTGTGTGGTGGTGGAATGTGAAGGACAAAGATAGCGCAGGTGCCTGCAAACATTGGAGACAAAACAACACATGCCCTTGTGGGAAATTTGTATAAGCACTTTAGCTGATCAATGAAAGGCAGTGTAAACTAAAGCCAATATATCCAAATTATACTGGAACTGGACCCTCCGTTCACCGTTATCCGGAATGACCACGTCAGTACGAGGTTCCACCGTGAGGCCCAAGTCCTTCAATCAATCCTTCCACGCGTTTAAGTCCATCCAAAGATCTCACTCCCAGATCTGTAAGGGAATGTTCGATCCGACTCACACCCCGTTGTGTCCCCACTGTGCCCTCAACCACGACTCTGACCAACTCGCGGAAGCTCTCCTTGTTTTCCGCAGACAGCCGCTCGTAAATCTTCTGAGTGGACAGCCCTCCAACTTTGCGGTAGATCAAACCAACTCCAAATCCAATCAGGAGGAACCCTGCTACCATAAATCCAAAAATGTATATATCCTCAATGTCCTCGATGGACAGTCCCGACAGACAAACGGGGTGCCACTTTTGCCAGTTGTCAAAAACGTACCCAGCCATATCGTCCGGGCCCGACGGCATCTCCAGAACCGCCTTTACGTGATGAAAAAATAGTATCAATTGCGTTGAGGGACCAGTTGATTAATTCTAACATTTTTCAAGTTGTACACAGGCAGAGCACTAGGAAAAAAGACAGTCAGGGCAAGCAAGGAGCAGGAGCAGGCAAGCAATTTGGGTTCAAGTCAAAGATGGCACAGACTTATGTATAGAGACACGTCTGAGCTATTTACTAAAATGCGTCAGCGAGGAGTACCTGAGTACATACTGAGAATCCTAGTCTACTGGTATGCTCACCAGATAATGCAGGTGAGGTGGGGTAGTAGTGTCTCAGCCCCCTTTGGCGTTACCAATGGAGTAAGGCAAGGTGGAATTCTTTCTCCAGTGTTGTTTAGTCTGTATATGGATGAGTTGTCACAATGGTTGAATGCATGTAGGACTGGCTGTATGATTGGTTCAACTCTTGTAAATCACCTAATGTACGCTGATGATGTTGTTGTATTGAGTCCAAGCAGTGCTGGCCTCCAAGAACTTCTTCATGTTTGCTCCAAGTATGGTCTGGAATATGACATCAAATATAATGCCAGCAAGAGTGTCATAATGATTTGCCGGACAAGAGATGACAAAATCTTGAAGTTTCCTCAATTTGAATTGTGTGGAAATAATCTGATATTGAGTAGCAAATATAAGTACTTGGGACATTTTATTACTGAAAACCTGTCTGACGATGATGATGTGTTACGGCAGTGCCGCATGATGTATGCACAGGCCAATACGCTTGTGCGCAGGTTTGGTGCATGTACAGATGAAGTGAAAAAGACACTTTTTAAAGCTTATTGTACACCGTTATATACGGCACATCTGTGGTCAAACTATAGACAATCCAGCGTGCGGAAGCTAAATGTGGCTTACAATGACTGCCTAAGAATCCTGCTTTGAAAAGGTCTCGGTGGGAGAGTGCCAGCCTATTATTTGTTTCTTCTGGGATACGAACTTTTCGTGCTGTACTAAGAAACCTGATGTACAGATTTATTTGTCGACTGAATCAAAGTCAGAATGTGATCATAATGAGCCTGACCAACATCAGAATCAGTGCCACACGCTATCAGTCTGAACTGTGGCGTCACTGGTACAGTAGTCTGCTGTAATCATGTATTTTTTATGATTATTGTTGTTTTTGTTTTTGTGTAATGTCTTTCTTATCTGGACTCCGTGTCTGTAATAAAGTTTAATAATA